TTATTGACAGTCTGGTAAACAACAACAACAACAACAATAATTTATAATAATAATAAGAATAATAATGATAATAATAATAATGATAATAATAATTTTAATTATAACATCAACAACAAGACCAGGTGCTCGAAATTAAAAGAATCCACAGAGCCACGAGAGTGACAGTAATACCCATCATGATTGGTGCACTTGGAATTACCTCGAAGAATACAAAGTCTTGGTATTGGAGGTTGAGTCTGTCTGACATTTTTGGAAGTATACAGTTCTCAGTAATCCATGTTACTGCTCATATCTTGGGGAAAGTGTTGTGTCTCTAAGCTGAGACACGGCTGAGAATACCCAGAAAATACCAGAGAACTGGAGGAGATTACACAATAATAAAGGTAAAAGTAAACCTTAAGAAACGAGGGTGGTCCAGAATTAAAGAGATGAATATGGGTTAGGTTATATAAAAGTTAAGGGTGATTATCTTTTCTATTTTGTACGATGTGAACACCTCAATGCATCTCACTTATAACATAAAAAACATGCTCAGATTTTCAATCAAGATGGATATTTAATTCTCAAATATTTCTAGCCTGGCATCGAAAAATATACATTCTTTCAACATCTTGAATTGTAGGAATTTAAAAAATACATCGTCGTAAAAAATGCACATTTCTATGTAAAATGCTTAAAAATATCTTCTTTCATTTGTGTAAATAAATTGAAAATTGGACTTTTTACAACAAATTTAAAACATCTTGCATACTCTAAAATCTTAAGAAGTCACAAAATACGAAATCTGATACTATAAACCAAAGCAAAAGAGAAATAAAAAATTAAAATTAAAGATGGAGCCAGAAAGAGGAACGCAATAATATAACAGCTCTTTGACTTTTCCTTTTGACTACTTTTCTTTTCAGGATAAAAAAAGCCTCAGACAAAACGATTGCCGTTCGTCGATAAGTCTAAAATTGCTAATGATATACATATTTTTTCGCGCAGACATGAATGTCATTTTCATATTTTCACAACGGCTTAGAGTTACCAAAGTAAACAAGATTTTGTTCCATTTTGAATATTTTAAAAAAAAGAAAACAATTTAAAAATTCCGAGAATAAGCCGTACTTATTGGGGAAAAAAGAAACTATCACAAGTACACCGTAAATAGAGGTGTCTACTGAATTTTGTTTGGAACTCATTGACTCTTGTGTCCGTGAGAGGGTGCCCGCTTTATGCAGTCGAGCCTCGGCTAACGGATAGTTCCCGTAGGCGGACACCTTCCGTAAGGGGACCTCGCCCTTAACGCAAAAATCAAAACATCAAAATTCTCCTAAAAATCAATAAATAATCAATGGAAACGGTTATGAGGAATTGATAAAATGATTGCCAAAGAAAATGCTTTGATTTTTCATCGCATGCTCTCAACTTATTCTTTAAAGAAATGCCGGTATGAGGATAAGTGTGGAGAATTTATGTGTGGGTATTGGGACTTAACGAGTTAAGGTATTGGATCTACTTAGCACATGCTTCATTGTAGAACAGAGTTCTAGCAATTGAAGGTGATTTTACACAAGACGATTCGCAACGACGATTTTTAGCGCAACACAGCCTTACAACATTGTTGCGACATTGTTTTGAATAGTTACAACATTGTTCCAACATTGCAACGCTGTGTTGGCTAAAAATCGTCGTTGCGAATCGTCCCTTGTAGTATAACCTTAAAGGGGCTATGTCACGCTATTTGCTTTCTTTTTAAAAAGCTAAAACTTCTTTGGGTCAATTTTATTCCAAAAATAATGGCACAGTTTTGTTCTTTAAACGATATTTAGACATTCGAACTTTTTCCTGTCGTCTGTTACAACGGATACCAAGGATGGATATGGATGAAACTTAAAAAAAGTTCGGCCAGTTTTTCCACCGTTTCACTGCCAGAGTGCTTGATGGAGTTTTATAAGGTTACTCTAACATTTGAGTCTGCGGTCCAAATTCTACGATGTGACCATTCAAATGAATCCTCTCTGCCTGTACTTACACATGGTGCTATTTGTTTCTCCAAATTTCACAAAATGAAATTTCGAAATTTGGTCGAAAATTGCTTTTGGCTAAATCTGGCAGTGAAAGGGTTAATGCTACGTCTGCAAAAATTACAGAAAATTATTGTTTTATATCTTCTTCATAACTCCCTAGGAGCATTTTGTGTGTGGGTTAAAGGCACTTAGCATTGACGTCAGTACGGAATTGACCTAAAGCAGCAATATCCACACGACATAGCCCCTTTAAAACCTACAAATAACAAGCACCACTATATTGCAGCTTCATCGTCGTCCAGTGCCCTGTTAACAAATTGTGATTTCATGGATCTTATGCTCTTGAGCATCTTATTCCTATGTCCAATTAGGGTAATTCCCATGCCTTTTAATTTCGTATCATCCAGCCGAATAACTTTTTGGAGGCTCTTGATATTTGCAGCTTTGAAAACTTCTGAATACTTGTCCATGTTGATGAATTTCAGCCACTCGTGAACAGACCGGAACTGTGGAACATCAGGTTTTTCTGACCTGAAAGAAAACAGTACATAGGCTTCAATTACTTTTCTGGTTAATCTCCATGGTTTATAAGTTGTGGAACTACTTTTTATGTGCCTTGGTTACGGATAACGTCCCAGTCCTAACTCTATAAAACAACGGTCACATTGTTGTCTCAAAGCAGTCCTGTGTAAAAGCCTTCTATGGTTCTTACTAATAATCTTGCATAGATGCTGGCCAATTGTGTAACACTTTATATGTCTAGCTTTACATTTTGAATACTGCAATTTACTTTCAAAAAATTCAATAACATACATTATTTTTAACTACTTGTTTCAAGAAACAACTTACGTTGCTTTCACGGCCAATAAGTCATCATTTAAAACTTCAGGGAAACGGAATAATTCATCCAAGCGACGGACAATTTCTGCAAATTTGGGTCTCTTGTTCTTGTCGGCTTCCCAACATTCCAGCATTAATCCGTGGACAACTTTTGGACAACCCTAAGCAACAACAACAACAACAAAATACGAAAAAGAAATCTACAACTAGAAAACAAGATATATCATTTTAAGTTATTGTTATTTTGTAGTTGTTGCTGGAATTAGACTAGGCAAAAGAATCCAATACACGACCTTTAAATCACCGGTTGGACGCTCTAACCATGCACTGAACTATGGGCGAGAGACTATATCATAGGGCATAGGCCTGCGGTTAGTCAAGGAACTTTGCATCGATTCTTGCTGGGGAACTCGAATTTTTTCCGAGCATTACATGCTTGTGTACTCTGGTTAATATCTTTAAATTCCTTACAATTATATTGTAGCAATATAACAATCACTATTGAAAATTCATCATGCCAATTCCAATATCACAGTTATGTATATATTCTAAAAACAATTCCAAAATTTTAAGGCTCTTATATATTGAAGCAATATAAAACCACGACTAACTCGAACCGCTATGAAAAATTTGAGTTATTCAAATGATTAGGATTGATCTGTCTCAATTCTAATATTAATATTCACCATGCACTGGATTGATTCAGTTCACTTGTGGATTGAGTAGCGATTTAATAACACGAAAAAAACAAAACAAAACAAAAATGACAGGGGCACCCAACGACAATTGTCGGAAGAATATCTGTTCGGAAGACGATTTGAGATCTAGAATTTTCGGAACATCTGTTGTAAAATTTCTTGCTTGCCTGCCTCTCCTAGGATTTTCAACATCTAAGAAATGGTAAAATTGCCCATTTTCAACGGATTTTTACCCTTAAAAGGTCACCTAGAATTTTCGGGAGCCTTTTTTCTGGTTGAAATTTTCGAACAGGTAAGTTTTGATCCCTATAATTTTCGGATCACTAGACTTTCAGCTAGGAAATCCGAACAGATGAAAAATTGATAGGGGATAAAAATATGCCCATATCCACCGTTTAAATACTAAAATACGTTTAACAATGCTATGTTTAAGTGGTTTTGAACTATATTCTATTTGGGTGCCCCTGAAATGACGAATAAAGACTATGAATATGATTGTGCGTCGATCGGCATTCTCCTTCTCAGTGTTAGCAGATTTTATTCGGAATATTGTTACGTTCAAACAGTGGTTATGATTACTTTGTTTGGCAGAACATTTAAGTTGGCAATTGCTTCCGACAACTTTTGCTGGGAGCAATCATGCTTTTACCTTTTTGGTGGGAACTAAAGGTTTCCAGTCACGAACGAATAGACGACTCTTTGCTGACGTCATTGTTTTGCCCATTAGCATATGAGCGGACCCATAAAAGGTGTCGCCGTATGCACAAAAAATATATATTCAAAAGTTGAAAGAGTTGATTTATTTGAGAAATTTGAGCAATGCTTTGCAAGCAATAACAAATAACAAATAATAATAATAATAATAATAATAATATTATTATTATTATCATTATAAAACAGCTGCCATCAAAAACTGCAAAATTGCTGGGTGGCAAAAGCGAAACTATTCGGTATATCGGCCTCAGATTTTCACAGATAACTGAAATTGTTATGCTCTTTCGATTTTCAGAGAGTTTACTTCATACTTCGATCAGAGAAGAAATGGCATATGCTAATAAGGCACAAAACGTAAACAAATATTCGCCTGTCAATTGATATTTCCATGATGTCCGGTAAAACTGAGCAAAACATAACTGAGCAACAACAACCCCAACTAAACTTACCGTGGGAGGTGGAAGGCGATATCCCGTTTCCACTCGGCCAATCACCTTTGTGAAAGAAAAAGAAAACCAAAAAAGTTCGGATGGGTTTTATTTTTTTTTCTCCACAGGGATAGGAAAGATGGCATTTCTCCAATTAAAAAAAAGAAAAAAAAAATTCTTGTAAATAAGGCAAACACTGTTGGTTTATTGCAGTAATATCACCAATCAGGAGAGTCAACGACAAGAATCATTTTCTTCATTATAAAAACAATCCTAAGTAAACATGGCCCATACCTTCAGTCCAAACAAACAAAAACAAAAAAAAACAATAATAGTAATAGTAATAAATATAATAATGATAATGATAATGATGATGATGATGATAATAAGAACAATAGTTATAATAATAATAATAATAATAATAATAATAATAATAATAATAATAATAATATATTAATACAAAATATATATTACTTTGGAACCCAAGATAATTAAAAAAGTTTATGCTTCAGCACTCAAGCGCCCCGGCACCATACAAGAGTATGGAGACTATTTATTAGGCAGACGTTTAGATAAGCTGTAGGGGTTATACTGAAGGGTTATAAGTAAAAATAATAATAGGTTTTGTCAGACAGGATTAGAGGTTGAACTGAAACCAGTTGTCTCTCAAAAATATTGCCATGAAGATAGATCAAAAGACTTGGTTTTCCTGTCACGGAAATCCAATCAATTTGTCCCATCTTCAGTGAAACCCTTAATCTCGTTTGACACTCACATCATAGTTGTTCCAGTCCCAGTATGGTCTCTCGGCGAATGACATTATCTCCCAAAGAAGGATACCATAACTCCACACATCACTTGCTGAGCTGAACTTCCGGTGCTGAAGAGCTTCCGGTGCGGTCCAGCGCACTGGAATTTTGCCTCCCTAAAAGAAATGGAAGCCGCACAGTCATTTTATGGCAATTTACAAATAAGCTTCGAATTCGATACCTCCAAAATTCATTTTGTTAAATGCCGAAAAACAAATTGTACCATGTTAAACTACATGAAAAGAAAATTCATTTAAAATATAATACCACTGGATTTTATTTAGAAACTAAAAGGTGAGAACCACTTTCTTACGAAATGTACTCTGGGAGTGAAAATGTTAAAGGTCCAGCAAAGAATCAGAAGGTTACTAAANGGTTATACTGAAGGGTTATAAGTAAAAATAATAATAGGTTTTGTCAGACAGGATTAGAGGTTGAACTGAAACCAGTTGTCTCTCAAAAATATTGCCATGAAGATAGATCAAAAGACTTGGTTTTCCTGTCACGGAAATCCAATCAATTTGTCCCATCTTCAGTGAAACCCTTAATCTCGTTTGACACTCACATCATAGTTGTTCCAGTCCCAGTATGGTCTCTCGGCGAATGACATTATCTCCCAAAGAAGGATACCATAACTCCACACATCACTTGCTGAGCTGAACTTCCGGTGCTGAAGAGCTTCCGGTGCGGTCCAGCGCACTGGAATTTTGCCTCCCTAAAAGAAATGGAAGCCGCACAGTCATTTTATGGCAATTTACAAATAAGCTTCGAATTCGATACCTCCAAAATTCATTTTGTTAAATGCCGAAAAACAAATTGTACCATGTTAAACTACATGAAAAGAAAATTCATTTAAAATATAATACCACTGGATTTTATTTAGAAACTAAAAGGTGAGAACCACTTTCTTACGAAATGTACTCTGGGAGTGAAAATGTTAAAGGTCCAGCAAAGAATCAGAAGGTTACTAAAGTCCGCAAAACACGAAACAAAGATCAAATTGTTTTACCTGTGTCTCATATTCTGAATCAGGTTTGTCATCAGCCAGTTCCCTTGAAAGGCCAAAATCGGATACTTTACAAGACATGTTCTCACCAACAAGAATGTTACGAGCGGCGAGGTCCTGGTGTAAAAGAAATCAGTACGAAAGACAAGTGGGTGAAAATATGTAACTATAGCTGCTTTATAACACAAAAGTTAAGAAGAGAACTCATCATTTATTATGGTTTGGTCTGAAGAAGAAAAAAAATCAGGGGAGGGAATGGTCTTGGCGAAAGAGAAATGTGGTCTATACGACTGCTTTCCAGTCGTTTTGCAATTTAGCAACCATGGCAGGGTTTTCTCTGAAGGTATAGCGCTGGTCTGCAGGGTGGGATGCCGGGGGCTCTCTGCCCTGACGCGAGTCCAATTTCCAAGGTTTTGAAGTAACTGAGGAAGATGACGCAACGCTTAACCTTATTCCATTTCCATTTTGCTGACAAGCCTAACGTTGAGACCCGGCCATCTTTATGTAGATCAAATAACAGAGCAGGGATGTCCCTTCATCCGTCATTCAGCTGGTTTTCTAATAATTGGCCCTTCTTCTATCCCTCAGGAATAGTTTCCACATGTAAAGGATTTGCGTTAGTTTGCCTACCCGGTGAATAAAGTTCATCTCTGAAAGATAGACCATTCCATTACGGTGCGGAGATCGGTAAGGGTTGTACTGAATAGCGGAAATTTGGCCATTGCGACCCTATGGACAAATAAAGATGCAACATATTTAATAACTGCAATACTAGTCTGTAACAATTTGCAGAAAATCTGATAACTAAACAAAATCGAAAGACACTTATGGCTTGAGTAAAAACCGCAAAACGTAAAGTCACAGGAAGAAGTTAAAACATTTGATAATCAGAAATAAATGAATAAATAAAGTTACTAAATACAGACAAACAAGTTTCGGCTTCGCTATAACGCAGCTTTAAAAATGCGGTGTCCTTGAGAGTTAACGTCATTCCATGAAAATTATGAACATACTAGTCATAAAACGTACTTTTAAAAAATTATCCAATGAACCACTCTCGAGAAACTCTGTTAGTATCATCATTGGTCTACCTAAAATGAGAGAGATGCATTGTGTAATTAAGAATGTAGGAAGCATCTTAAAGAGGTTAACTGCTTGTGGTTGTTAGCATTATTATACGCTCTTAGATGGTTGTTGTTGTTGTTGTTGTTTTTGTCTAGCGAATGGAGCATATCCTTCATTACTTGCACAATAGCACCTTTAAAAAAAAAAAAAAGAAAGAAAAGGTCGTGTGCCCAAGCTATAATTTGCAAACAATTAAGGTCGAGAGTTGACCTTGCAAAATTCCTCACACGCAGCATCTCAGTAAGACTGGGAGAAGCGTGTCACAATGTTAACCTTTGAACTCCTAAGAGTGGGTAACATCAATTTTCTCCAAATAATATCAACACATAACCAAAAGAAACGTTATGAGAATCAGCAAAATAATCACCATATAGAGAATGCTTTGACCTTTTATTGATTTCTCTCAACCATTCTTTAAGGAATCTATGGAGATCATTGTAGAGAATAATTTTATGGGAATATTAGGCTTAAAGGGTTAATAGGTTAAGGTGTAGCAGAATAACATTATACCAAAAGTACAGCAGAGGGTGGGGAGTTGCGGTGGCCCTGAGGCACCTGCCACGAAAACGACTCATAGAAAGAAATGACTTAAAATTTCTTGGCTTTGCCATAAATGTCCAGTGCTCCTCAAAATCATTAACTGTTGCTTGGAAAATCACTGCAGACCTACTTTGTGTAACAACTCCCTTCAGCGCAATCACATTTGGATGATTAAACTGGCCCATGATAGACGCTTCTGACAGGAAATCTTTCTGGTTCTTTTCATTTGAACCGGGCTAAAGGAGGAAAAAAAACCCTTTAGTACTTCTAAAGAATTAAAAATTCGAGAATGGAAAGGCCTTGCAAGAAAGTAATAGGCGCCAAATATTATATTCACTCTCAAAACTTTGATTGCCACGATTTCTTTCCCTTTCGGAGTTTGAAGTGTTCCTTTATAGACATCAGCAAATTCCCCTGGCAGAAGAAAAGAAACAAACAAACAATAAGTAAATACCTAACTATTCTTAATGGAACTTCCAAGGAAGGCTGATTAGCGCTTAACTGGTTTCCTTTTCTTGTGTTCAATTTATTTTCTCGGATAATTTTCTCTGTTATTTTAAGAGCTTCCAATCATCATCAACTTGTACACAAAAAGAATTAAAACTGAAAAGCCTTTTAATCTTTTAAATTCTTAATTCAAATCTCACACTAACTCCTGGTTATCTTAATCCAGCTTTGAACAATTCGTCCCTGGTTATATTATTTACAAGGGAAGTCGAGAAATTGAGCTTGCATGAGACTGAATTCGACTGAATAAAATCCAGCTAAGGATCAGCGTAGAGATCACTCAAGCAGCAGTTCGGTACTGAGGCACAAAAAGGATGTAATTTCACAACAAAACAGATGTATGACCTTATATCACTATCATCGAATAATTAAGAAATTGGGGAAGATCAGAAGCGACAGAACTAACCACCAGTCAAGTAAAAGTAAAATCGGCTTCAGTATGAAGCAAGAACACCAGTTACACAAGACTGTTACATCCCCACTCACTAGTAAGATGCCTGACAAATACGGAAGAAAGCAGTAATGCACCGGATTTTTTAGCCTTCTTGCAGTTCACATTTTGATGCAATTTTCAATAAGTAGCTTCTGATCTCATCCAAACTGCAGGAAAAAAAATCTTACCTTGTCCAATAAGTCTATCGAGCTTCGTCTTACTTCTTTCGATTTCTGTTGTAAATGTTGACAGCAATTCCATGAGATCAAGGTAGTTTCCTGGGTCGATATAACGTCGCTGATCCATTGATTGTAGATCAGTTCCTGTTGGAGAGGAATTTGATTTAAGTGACTGAGTAAGATGTAATGCGTGGGAAAGGACAACTATTTAATTTGTTAATACCTTGCTCTATAGTACGCATATATTCTTTCTCTATGTTTCTTCGACTGCCCCTGAAATAACAAAAAGCGAAACGTTTAAGACTTAATACCTTCCTAAAAGAGATGTAACCTTCCTACAAAACAATTCAACTATGAGCGTAATAAATGTAAGTTCAATAATAATCTTAAATTTCTCCTAGCACAACAAAAGATAAAAGCGGCACGATGCAACTGAATCAGTGGAGGTTTAATTTTTATAGTCACACCACGAGATTTCTGCCATGAAAAAAAAAAAAAAGAGGTAAAATTACATAGCACATTAATAAATAGTACATGGCAAGTTTGTAAATAAATAAATAAATACATAGGGTCATGTCAAAATATTTCTGGAGAGGTATCATTGCAGTTAGTGAAACCAAAGAATTTCATTCCATAGAATATACTTTCACAAAGGTGAGTGATAGGCAATGCGAGTGATAAGCATAGGGAAGCTTCCGCACTCAAGCAATCATGTGACTTCAAGTTGAGTTCTAAGGAGCAGGGCAAATAGAATAGTACCTTCTGAAGCGAAAGATGACAACGATGACGATTACGAGTATAAGTAACAACAAGCCTCCTCCTCCCGCGGCGCCAGCAATCACCATCTTGTCCTTGGTTGATAACTGGCTACTTCCTACATTATTAAAAGAGTTAATTAGTAGAAATAAGCACTTTCATCAACGTACCCCAGAACATACCGGTACAAGAGACTCTGTATGCATTGTGTGCTAAAACCTTCAATGCTGGATTTACGGAATATTTCTTTCTTATTTCCTGTTTAAAGGTAAGGGCAGACCTCCACATTGGCCCGAGCTTGGACAAACGCAAAACCCTGGAAGCGCTAAAAGTGGATGATGATCGGCAATTTTATTTAATGTGATGCCGATCATACCTAAAAATGTGAGTTGAACAGTTTCAAAGTCATTTCAAATAAAGTTTAACAGTTAGTTCACAAACCGTTCGGAATTGTAAATCTCTTTACGCCTGGATGCCCTTGTCCAAAGTTGTTGACGGCAGTTACCTACAAAAATAAAATAATCCAATCAGTGAGGCATTTTGTTGACTAACTTCAAAAGAACATAGCCACCTCCCACCCAGGTAGTAGGCACTACCCAATGAGTTGATAGAATAAACCAGTCAGGCGGTTAGGAATTCGCCCGGTTAGCTAAATTGATGAGGGCTGATCTGCGAAGCAGGAAGTTACGGTTTCAACCCTATGCCAGGGCAATACGATGTGTTCAGAGAGAGAGAGAGAGAGAGAGAGAGAGAGAAAGAGAGAGAGAGAGAGAGAGAGAGAGAGAGAGAGAGAGAAAGAGAGAGATGATGATGGTGGTGATGATGATTATGAAGATGATGATCATGATCAAAATCATGATGATGATCGATGTCAGTCCTTCAAACAAGTCAACAGCCAGTAAGCCAGTCTGCCCTTTATATTCAAAAATTAAGTTCCAGGTTCCTTTACAAAAGCTTTAAAAAAGCTTACCTGAAATTCATACGTTTTTCCGGCACTTAATTTTTGAATCCGTTGTTCTGTTTCTGGGGTTGTCAAAGTTTCTTCGTCAGAAGTGTCACCCATATCAAAGTACGTCACCATGTATTTCTCGATTATGCCATTTTTGCATTTCAGTTTCCATGACAACATGGTAGCACCATCTTCAGCTTGCTGTACATATACTTCCGGTATACCAGGAACTGTTGTGAAGAAAGCAACAGTATGGATAATCAGGCGACATTTATGATTATAAAGATGACACTTGAGTGACCGACCTGACGGTTGCTGCACCCTTCGCATCTTTTCAACTGTACCCCACGTTAATAATAGTCCACCCCTCCGATATTAACATACGTGCATGTACTCCACGCGAATAGACTTTTTAATTAATACCCGTTCATATCGTTCATATAATGTCGTTTAAGTCAATGGGAGATTTTGTCGTATCACATATAAACGTCAATGGGAGATTTTGTCGTATCACATGTAAACAAAGAAACTGGCTTACCAGATCCGTTTGTTTTGAAGGTTATCCTGGTGCTACTTGCTTCGACCTTGTGTTTTCTTACAGCAACCTCACTGACTCTGTTCTTGGCCATGATCTTACAAGTGTAGTTTACAAACGGAGAAAGCAAACCCGTTGTCCCTGGAATTGTCATTATAGTCGCGTAACTTTTGTTCATAAATACGAAGTCTGTATTGTCATTACCACCACAGATTTCTTCAGTACAGTCTCTGCCATCAATTTCGCAAGTGCGTCGACATTCAACTTCGTAAAATACCTGGTCACCAGTCATGGCGGGAGGCAGCCAGCTTATCGTAGCTGAACTTTGGTTTACAAAAAGCGTAATAGCATTTCTCGGGTGTGATGGGATGACTAAATGAGAAAAAAAAAAAAAAAAGGAATACAAGATAGAGAGAGAACATTCGAACGATGTTACCTTTCTGAAAGACAACAAAATCGAAAACGAAGGTCTTAATTCTTACTCTTCTTTTAGCCACGTATTCTTAGGGTCCACGTCGTATGAACGAATGTATTGTCATGAGCGAATAACTGATTGGTTTTTTTTCTTGAATTCATTGTTTTTTAACTGACTGATTCAATCAATCAGTCAATAGTACTATTGATCGATTTATTGTGTGCAGATCGGTTGATCCATTGGTTGGTTGCATGACTAACTGATTGATTGATTGAGAGAGTGAGTGCTTGAGTGAGTGATTGACTGATTGATTGACTGATTGCCAAAACTGTGACTCACTGACTGACTGTTTGACTGACTGAAAATTGTTTTGGATCAATTCAGAATAAATCATTGCATAGCAAAAAGTGAATCAATTATACACCTGTACAGTTCAGCCCCTTTGCGTCATTATAAGTACCCAGTGAACAAGCTGGAATGAAGGAGAAAAAAAGCAAAAGAAGAAAATTAAAATATACATAGTATTTGTAATTTAAAAGGGCTTTTAAGCCATTCAAAAGTATATTAAACTTTCAACCTTTATCTGGTTATATCATAACTGCGTCGCTGACATTCTACACCTTAGGCTGCCTGCAACCCAGTCTTTTATTATTAGTCGGTTAGAGTCACAGAGCAATTCATCGGCTGCTTCAGCCTCCCAAACAGGTATAGAGTTCGGTAAAATTTTCCCGTACACGACTACATATTCACACATTGTTTTGCAACCTTGGTGAGAGTTTTCACATTGTTTACTTTTTATTCTGCCATTTTTTTGTCCGTAAAACAATCCAAACGGGGTCCGCTTTAAATTAAGAGTGAAAGCTTAAATTTACTACGCACTACTGATTGCTGAAAGACCAAGTTATGCCTATATATCCATACGGACACACTTATATTGGCGGTCAAAAGTAGCGTATAGTATGTCTATCATCGTATGTCTAGAATATTACTGCCATCAGGTAAATATAGTCTTTAAGGGCGTTATTACCGCATCGGCATACCTGAACATGTCCCACCAATATTTTCCATGTCTTCCTTGCAGACGCATTTCCCTTCAAATTGACTGACATTCCACTGCCCACTGCTTTCACAAGATACATTCAAACTTCCCTGAATACGGAAAGAGTCCGCAGCACACATTCCTTTCACTTGAACTGACTTTAAGGCACTTAATGGAGCTAAAGTCTCCTGTAAATGGACCAAACTGCCCTGAAGCGTTGTTGAGGGACAAATGTTATAAGTGATCCTAACGGAATACAAAACTTTACAGCCACCTTGGTCGAGAAAACTGAGAACAAGATATTTGCCTTTGAGCTGAAGAGTTATCGGAAAGACTGTTTGGACGCTTGCCAGACCGCTTATGGTAGCGATTTCTCTGTAGGAACTGTTACTGGTCAGGGGATTCGGAATGTTGTCAGACGTGACCTTCAAATCGGATTCCCATACATAGACACCAATTTTATCGTCACAAAACGAGCTGGGTGGTTGTATGGAACAAAAGGATGCTATTGTGTACGTGACGGCAACGGTCACTCTTTTAACGTTTTGAGCATCAATGAGTGTACTTCTTAACCAATTTTTTGGTTCTTGAACAAAAGATCTGCACAATGAGTAGTGGTTAGGCTGTGGACTGTAACCCCACTAAAAAGAAACAAAGAAACATAGAAATTTGTTACTAAAAATGAAAGGCAAAGCTGAGACTTGTTTAACGATCGAAATTCGGTCGAGAAACTGCAGTGGGCTACAATACAAGTACTATAGTGCGGGAATTATCTTTCAACGACCGGCACTAATTTAAGGTGCCACCTCACAAAAAGATTCAATAGAAATGACTGTAAAATAACACGGACGATAAAAGCAAGGTGCTGACCGTCTTTGAGAGTGATTTGACTTTGGTGGGTTTATGAATAACAAATGTATGATGAAACCCCTACCGTTAGGCCAGATTTTATTTATTTTTTTCAGTTTTCATTTTCTTATAATTCTTCCTCTTATTATTACTATTTTTAAGACTTCTACATTAACTATGGGGCGCTAATAATCTGTAAGTACAAGAAAAAACAATGAAAATAATTACACTCGA